AGATTTATTTATTTATTTTATTTATGAGTACACTGTAGCTGTCTTCAGACACACCAGAAGAGGGCATCGAATCTCATTACGGATGGTTGTGAGCCACCATGTGGTTGCTGGGATTTGAACTCAGGACCTCTGGAAGAGCAGTCAGTGCTCTTAACTGCTGAGCCATCTCTCCAGCCCCAACAAATGCTTCTTAAAGTTAGGAATGACCTCACCCATTTCTCTCTCTCTCTCTCTCTCTCTCTCTCTCTCTCTCTCTCTCTCTCTCTCTCTCAATCTTTATATAGGCTTTAAATTTTTTTCTTCCTTCCTTCGTGCCTTCCTCCCGCCCTCCCTCCCTCCTTTCTTTCTTTTTTTCTTTTTTTTTTTTTTTGAGACAAGGTTTCTCTGTATGGCCCTGGATGTTCTGGAACTCACTCTGTAGATCAGGCTGACTTCGAACTCAGAAATCCGCCTGCCTCTGCCTCCCAAGTGCTGGGATTAAAGGCGTGCGCCACCACTGCCCGAGGCTTTAAGTTCTCATAGCTTCAGCTTATCACTGCATTATGTCTTTTCTTTCTTTTCTGTGAGCAGTGAATCTGGGCTCCAGAGACTGGCAGCTGCTCTCTAAAAACAAAGTCACATGGAAACAAAATCACTCAGCGGTGTGTACACACACTGATCAACACCTGGATACCTGTCTAACAAATTGATCACTCATTCAAATGACCACCGTAACTCATTAAAAAGAATTCTTTCTTCTAGTAACGATATCTCGATGTGCTTTAGTAGTAAGTTACTGAACAGTCATTCTTCCCATTTGTCAGCCTTCCAGTTTTTCCTTTGCATAGCAACAATGTTGAGTAGAAAAATGACTATTGAGTTGACTCTCAATGTTGACTGTCAAAAAGCATTTAAAGTTAAGATGAGTAATTTCAAATGTGATGGTAGTAATGACTATGGCATGAACGTAGTTATAGACTGTCCTGTAATGTTATCCACCTCCCTGAGGTGTCACTTTGCTTTTCTGTGTCCTCAATATTTCTTTTGCTCTTAAGATTCTAGGATGGTGCCTGATTTGTTCAGCATCCTTCTTCTCCCTTCTCACCACTTGTTACGCACGCTGCAGATCTAAAGTCAGCTATCTGCAGCTGAGTTTTTGGAAGACATATGCACAAAGGGAGAAGGAGCAATTGGAAAACAAACTCCTGGAATGTGCCAACAAGCTGAGCGAGAGGAACCTCAAATGCTTTTTTGAAAACAAGAAGCCAGATCCCTTTCCCATGCCTTCATTTAGTGCCTGGGAGGCTGCATCTGAACTACATTCCTTCCACCAAGACCGCGAGCACTATAGTACCCTCCACAAGGTGGTGGATGATGGTCTGGAACAAACCCCGGAAGAGGAAGAGACAACAATGATCCTTGTGGGCACCGCCCAGAGTTTGTGAATCATCCACTATCCCGGGCTGAGATAGCCAGTGGTACATTCATTCTGAGTTGAGTCTTCTGCTGTTTCCACGACAACCTGAGCCTCTGCATTTTCTCACCACCAGAGCTTCTTTAGAAGATAACAACGCAGTGAGGAACTGTTCTGAAGCCTCCAAGGGCAATGTCTGGATGTGCTCAGACTGATGCTGAGCGATGACAGACACTTTGAGCTGGTGCAGGGTTGTGCCCAGGAGGTCCAACAGTCGGTCCAAGCTCTAAGATTTTATAACCCAGCCCTCAGAGTCTGGCAAGATGGTCTGCCACTGTTTGCGAGCATATGCCAGGGTATTTGGGGAGAGGTCTATGCACAGTGGTATCCACACAGTGGCCATCAGAAACCCTTTCAGAAATAAATCCAACACCTTTTAAGTTGGAAGAAACTGCCATTTAATTAACATTCCTTTCAACTGAAACCTCCATTCCCAAGACTCACTAAACTGAAAGAATATAATGTCTGAAAGTCAGAGGTTCCTCAATTTTCCCCAATTTCTGAAAGTCTGCCTGGAGACAGGGCTGCCTCATGACTGCCGTGGGTGGTAGGCACTTATACCTTCACAGGACAATTTCTACACTCAAAAGACAATCACATAAGGCACATGTACAAGACTGTATTGATATAAAGACAAGTACATTAATATTGTATACTAAAGTAGTTTTTTCAACAAAAATCCATTTTTTATGGTTTTAAAATTGAAAATCACTTTCATGAATCCCCACTAAAGTTTTTGGTCCATAGCTTGGTGCCTGCTGTGTTGTGGGTAAGTCTTAGTTTCTTTGGTCTACTATAACAAAGGCCATAGACTGTATAGCTTATAAACAATAGTTCACACAACTTGGGAGGCTAGGAGAGCTTTTCCTCAGGTTGCTGATTGCCGATGCCCTATTGTGAGTTTTGTGCTGAAAAGGGCAAGGAAGCTCCTGGGGCAGCTGTTTTGAGGGAGCTCAGCCCATGCTGTAGGCTCTGCCCAAATGACCCAATGTCCCTGCAGATGACTTAATGACATTACTTTCAAGGATAGGTTTCATTATGTGAATTTTAGAGGGATATAAGCATATTATAGCATAGATTGGTAATGACTTACTAGACGTCTTCAGAGACTGTCCACAGTAGTCCCAGCATAAAATTGTGTTCCTTTTTTATACTTTTCAAAAATAATGTGTTATTCTCTACTATGTAATATTTAGTGTGTGTGCATGTGTGTGTTTGTGTGTGTGTGTGTGTATGTGTGAATTCCCATAAGTCTCTGGGTGGATCTGTACTTAAGACACAGTATCCACATTTAGCACTGTAGCTTATACCTTATATCAGAAGCTCTTTGCATCTCCAGATTTAAGAAGCTTTCATCTTAGCTCATCATTAACAAAAAAGTTGATAAGATACTGCAGGAGAATCCAACAGGTTCAAGACCCCCAGAAAAGCTTAAGAGTATGATTTATAATGATAAATATGTTTTGCCTATCTTTGGTACAAAGGTTCAAGAACCCTTGTGTTCTTACCATATGAAGTCATTATTTTTTACTAATAAGGGGACTCCTGTATAACCACAGATGTGTCTGGCTGCCATAAATGACCACTGGTAATTTCTGCCTCATCTCATAACCTCCAGAGAATAGACAAGGACTGAATACATGTCGATTTGATCCTGGCAGGAATGCACAACCTTTTTGATATCACAAAAATATGTTTGTCAAACATATGTTTGATATGTTGTCAGCTACAAAAGTCATGTTCCAGGGCTGGCTGGGCAATCAGGACACACAGACACACATACACACACACTCCACACTCATACCCATACACATATACACACACTATGCCCCCCCCCCCCACTCACACACACTCATATATACAGAGACACACACAGACACATATATACACACACACTACACTCATACACATACACACTACAGCATACACACACACTCACACACACTCATATATAAACACACTCTACACTCATACACATACATGTGCACACACACACACACTCAGACATACACACACACACTACTTATGCATACACATAAATACACACCATATACACACTCCTATGCATACACATTGAAGGGACTCTGGCCTGCTTGAGAGTGGCAAGCATAGCGCTGGCAGGCCTTTCTTCTTCTTTCCCTCTGCCTTGCTAAAAACCATTACATTACACTCCTAAAGCTGGCCACTAAGGTCTGTTCCCTTATTTGGCCACTGTCTCCTCCTGAGGCTGATTACCAAGGTCCAGCATTCAAGTTCGGCAACCAAAAGCCCTCTTTGGGTGACCTAATTAATATACCAATTAAAATGAAAATAAACTCCTCATCCTAACTGGGGTTTAACTGCCTTTGCAATTATAAACTGCTATTTCCCTATGTGCTATGTCTGTCTCCTCTCTACTCAGAGACGGTCCTTTGTCCTCAGGAACAAATATTCCTGCTCCTTCTCCCTTGCTTCTTTCCCCTTCTCCCTGGTCTGCTGTCTCTTGTCTTTGTCTCTTATTCCCTTCTGTCTTCTGTCTCTCTGGGACAAATAAATCTCTTTTGTTCTGGGAACTTGGGTGTCCTGAGCCAATACTAATCCTAACACACATACTCTATATATTCATACACACACACACACACACACACACACACACATTTACACATACACACTCCACATATACATGCATACATACACACTTCACATACACACTCACACATACATTTATATACATTCACACACATACACACACATATAAAATGTAAATCCAAACACATAACAATAAGTATAGCACTTTCCTGAGTCTTGTGGGCTACAGGAGAACCTTTAAATGGTAGCTGCACCTGGCACAACCTGTAAGTAGCCTGGGAGCCTTCTGCTTGTGAATTGTATCTAGAGTCAGGAAAAATTCTTGGGAAATGGGCTCTAAACCAGCTTGAGAGCCATGCTTAATTGCAGATAATGTTAGAAATTATTTGAATTACAAGTCACTTAATTTACATTGGAGAATATATCAGTTTGACAGGAAACACCCTTGCTTGTAGGCTTGGAATAATACAGAAAAATAAAAACAACATCCTTCAGGTTTCCAAGGAGCAGCATTAAGAGTGTGTGCTGGGGATGGAAATAGAGGGACAAGACAAGGCAGAGGCATCAAAACGAGGATAAATAAAACAGTAAACAATGAGCATCTTTCTGCAATCCCTTCTTGACTATCTCTAAGTGTTTACGGAGACTTAGAAAGCAGATGGGACCCAGCTAATAGCCATGCATTTCTTGGGTTGGGCCAAAGGCAGAGACAGTTCTAGAAAAGTAGCTTAGTTGCAGGAAGCTGAGGAGTAAGGAAAAATCACTGGGGCATATCTCTGCATCCCTCTACCTCAGGGCCTTTCTGTATTCAACAAGCCTATACTCAACATTATGGATGCAACATCCAAGGATATCCAAGCCGACGAGCCAGCAGCTTGTACTTTTTGCTTACAAAGCAGGAGAAGAGCTGACACTCCTACTGTGAACAAGTCACCCCTAGATGAGTCAGGTTCTCTTCCTGGCTCCTGGTCTGATTCCTGTGGAATGCTATTTTATGCAGGAGACAAACAAGCTCAAGACATCTTATCTATCCTCTCAAAAGCCTTGGAGGGGATGGGTGGAGATGGCAGAGCAAATTGGTATCTGTTCTTTAGTGTCCAGAGGGTGCAGGTCTCTGGACCCATATAGAGAACTTTGGAAGTGTGGCAGTTTGTTATTGCAGGTGGGGCTCCCTAGAAGAAACCTCAAACTTAGGGAGCTTGTGTAAGGAACTTTCCAAAAGGAACGGGCTTGGGAAAGGCTCACTAACACCACAGAGGCAAGTAGAACAGGATTTCAGATAAAGTGCCAGCCCAACCAAGCCCACAGCAAATGCTGGGCCATCTGTCTTGGCTCCAAAGCAGTGCTTTCAACCTTCCTAATGGTGTAGCCCTTTAATACAGTTCCTTACATTGTAGTGACCCCCACCAGCCATACAATTACTTCTGTCGCTACTTCATAACTGTAATTTTGCTACTGTTATTAACTGTAATGTAAAAATCTGATATGCAGGATATCTGATATTGAGGGGTCTCAACCCACAGGTCGAACTCTAAAGGCTTCAGCTATGGCTGTGAGCTCTTCAAAGTAGGAAAGACCCTTTTCCATAACAGGAGATTAGATATCTGGAGGTGTCAGAAGGGTCTCCCTAATGTCTGCTATGAAGCCTTCTTTTATAGAAACGACAGGAAGGGAAGACATGTCAGGACACAACCAAGCCCTGAATCACTGCCTCTACCACCTTCTAATTTTCTTGAAGCCAGAGCAACAGCTGTGGGCAGTTGCCTTCTTTAACCACTGATGCTTTGTTACATTAGGGAAAGAATTGAGAGTTCTGCCAAAGGGCGCCATGCCTCCTCAAATTATTTTTGGTTAAATTTTATCTGGAAAAATCACAGTCTATAGGCTAAATTCTAATTAACATCAACATGATATTGGAGGAGCAACACATTAACATTTGTTGTTAATAACTGAGTCAAAATGAGAGGAGGGGAAGTTACAGGCTTGGTTGATTTTGAGTAAGCTGGAGATAGACAGATTGCCCCTAATGTCTTCCTTCTTAGTGCATTATTATCTCAGATCATCAGCTTCGAGGGGGAGCTTGTAAGAAGTTAGAGCCGCACTTCACACTTGCTGAATCTAGTCTGTTCTGAAAACATGGAGACTCCTATTCAAGTTAAATTTGAGCTTAGAAGTTTCTCAAACTTGGCTTGTGTTGAATCTGGCTAAGTAGACTATGGCTCTCTGGGCTTCTTTTCCAGAGGGTCTGAGTCAACAGGCCTATGGGCTGGAAAGTTCTCTGGCAATGCTGATGCCACTGACTCAGTAACCACATTTTGAGAATTCAGGATAGCTCCAAAGCATGGAGCCAGCCATTCTGGGGAAAAAGACTAGACAGAATTCGTAATTTCAGATTCTGCCCTAGACCTACTCACTCAGACATCTTTATTATATCAACCTATCCAAGAACTTTGGGATCCTTCCATTTGTTCAAAGATTTTCTTGATGCTTTAGGAATGTTTTACAGGCTATCTCACATAAATTTCTTGCGACAGTTATTTGTCAGTATTTTTTTGTTGCTATTCTTAATGATATCTCTTTCCATTATGTCTCCAAAGGGATTGTTATCTGAGTACACAAAAGCTATTCTTTTATGCCATCTTATGCCCCCTTATTGATCTTTTCATGGCTTGTAGAGCTTTTCAGAACTAGAAAAAAGAGAAACTTTTATAACTCATAATGACATAATGGATGTCGACAAGAAGTATTAAATTCTAAACTATTAGGTGAAAAGTAAGTGAGTCAAATCCTGTGCAACTTGAAGCCACTTATCTACAGTAGCTTCCGCAAAAACAGCAAGCAGACATTTGATATCTCGTGATGCAAGATAAAAGTAAGCATATAGTTCCCCCTGGAAAGTATTGTTTACTAAAACACGAAACCAGAGGATAAACAAGCATTTAGAGAAAACTACTAGTTTATAGGCAAAATATGGCAATGTATTTAATATAATAAAGAAGCAACCAGGCAAATTCCAATTTAGATTATTCCTCTAAGCACTTGGGTCTGAAATGTCTTCTAAAGACCCCTGTACATAAACTGTCAGCTCATAGTGGTACTGGAAAGTGTGGGAACTTGAAACAGTTCCTAACACTCTCTGGGGGAACGCCCTTGAAAGAGATATGAGGACTCTATACCT